GACTTGATGGCACCTGACAACAACAAGTACATATTCAATTGTTTATCTTGCTAATGAACCATCGCAGAAAATAGCAAACCATCCCTCCAACAGTAATTTATGTACCTGGAAGCACCTTAACTCTGCTAGCAAGTCTCCTGCTCAAAGCCATTCAGCTTTTCTTGCTCTGTGGGCTCTGTCTGGTGCTCTGAAGATTGGTTCTGCCGCCACAGCACCTCTGCCACTCATCTGCGACTTACTCCTTCAGTGTCATGCCTTTCTGTCCCTGGGTTCAAAAGTTTCATCGCAGAGATTTCCTGTGCTCAAAGAACATTTTCCACTCCTGGATCCTGGTTGGTAGTGAAATTCCCCTCATTCTGTTTTTGAGATTGCTCATTTATACACGTTTAGAATTCCAAGTTCTGAAGACCAAAATTAACTCTGTTAACTGCTCACACCTGAATCATTTTCTATCCGCATCTTCTCCCACCTTCCCTTACGCAGAACTCGGCAGGGCAAAAACATTTAGAGTTACAAAGACTGGGTTGAAGAGCCATAAAAAGCGATTCTCTGCGCTGCAAGCATCCCCTGACTTCTGTTTTTTTGTGTGTTGTTATTTGGCTTGTTAAATATATCCTAAGAAATTTTACTAACAACAAGTGTTCCTGAAGTTGGTTGTTTGGAACTCAGAATGTACAGAAACAGCATTGTGAATGGTAGAAACTATAGAGCAATTCTCTGTCCTTTAGGGTCACTATGAGTCAAAATTGGCTTGGTGGCAGTGGTTGGGTGGTGATACCAATCAACCTTAAAGTTGTTGTTAGGTGCCATCGAGTTGGTCCCGACTCATAGCAACCCTGTGCACACCAGAACAGACAATAATAGCTGATCTATCTGGGTGTTGCACCTTTTAAAGGAGATGTCATTCATGCTTTTCTTTCTTCTTTTTTCAACCTCAGTGTATTCAAGCTCAGTAAGTTTCATCATATGTTAAAACTGCCATTAGGTTTGCTTCAGCTATTTTGTTACGTGCCGTTGAGTGACACCATGCGCAACATAACAAAACACTGCCCGGTCCCGTGCCAGCCTCACAATTGTTACATTTCAGTTCATCACTGCTGCAATGGTGGGTGTCAGTTCATTTTACTGGGGGTCTTCCTCTTTTTGACTGACCTGCCTGATAGCATGTCCGAAGTATGAGT